TTTTAAACATACAAATAATTATATCGTTTGTTTAGTAGATTATTCATTTAAATATTTTTACAAATTGACAGTTTTTTTTTCTAAATTTATTTGAAGGCTTACTAAATCTATAATAAGTGTGTATTATATTATGTATGGTGACTTATTGAGACTTGTTACACTAGAATATAGTTTTTTAACTCTTCTATTTTTGCAGGGATTACGAAGAGTAAAATCATCACTTATTATTACCAATGATTGGAAATAAAAAAATCTTATTAATTACCAAAATATCGTTTATTGTTGTATTTCTATTTAAATCATACAGGTTTTATTATCACATATAATAAAACGTGTTTCTTTTAAAAAATGGTCAATTTTGCATGTATTCAATCATCTATACATTCATTACATTTTCAATGTAGCCAATTAGTGTCCTTTTTGTATTAGCACAAACCTTGACAGAAATAACTGTATAAAAAAAGTGAAGTCATCTCACTCGATAATAATATATATATATATATATTTCATAAACCAGGTCACTGCTATTGATTCTGTTTCGCTTCCTTCCGGACTACTTTTTTTCTTCCTGTTTGCTAAATTCATGGAATTTGCACAGAAAATGTAATGTAAATTAGATGATTAATTAGATGAATTGTTATAGTTTATTTTAATGTCATGATTTTAAATCATATTGTTTTTACCTAAATTAAACCCATTTTTTAAAAAATGATAAAATTTCGAAAGAAGTTTCCACTGTTTCATGTCAGATTTTCAATGACAACATTTTAAAAAGATGACGCTTATTTCCAATCAATTTTCGATAAGAAATTTTAGAAGAATTTTGAATATTTTCACTCAGATTTTTTACCTACTTAAACCCAAATTATCAACAACGTTTGACTACTTTTAGTTTGACTTTTTATCTACTCGAAACACAATTTTCAATGACGTCAATTAATTTTGAACCTATAGAAAATTTAATTTTCAACATCGATATTTTGGAAAAATAAATTGACTATTTCGAGTTTGATTTTCCATTCTGATTTTTCACTTGCACAAATACGAAAACTAATTTTTAAATTAAAAACATTTGACTATGTTTGACTATGTTTTCATTCTGATTTTTTTATCTACACAAAACCAAATTTTCAACAATAACATAACATTTTGGATGAAATTTAAAAAAAATATTTCCATTCTAATTTTTCACTTACCCAAAACCAAATTTTCAATATCAAAATTTCGGAACAAGTTTGACATCTTCCAATTTGATATTTTTATCTACAACCAAAAAATTTTGGAATTTTTTTTTTGCAATCAACACAAAATTGAATTTTGAACAATGAAAATTTGGAAAAAGTTTGATTATTTCCAGTAAACAGCATATAAAAAAATTAATTGTCAGTAATGAGATTTTGAAAACTGTTTGACTATATTTTCACCAACAAAAAATTTTTCACAATCGTCATTTTTACTATTCATAGTATAGATTTTCCACCTACAAAAAGAAACAAATTTTCAACATCGATATTTGGAAGAAATTTAACTACTTTTAGTTTGAGTTTTTATCTACATGAATTAAAGGTTGAAATTTTAATATTATATTAATTTCTTTGATTCATACTATAACTATAAAAAAAAATTAAAAATCACTTACCTTACATTAGAAAACTGTTGTTTTTTTTCACTGATAGAAGTTTGATAGATAGAAATTTGAAGTTGGTGAACAAGTAAAAGTCTTCCGATTAAAAATATTTATTGCTTTGTCTGGGCTAATAATTATTTGTATATACTTTATTTTAAATATATATTTATTTATGTATGTATATAATAGACGCTCTAAGGGTTTCATTTTTTTTTCTTCAAAAGGATGACATGCATACACTATGAGTAAAAGACTAGGTCTACGAACTTAGCTCTACGCCGCTAATAAAGTTATTACGCTTACGACGCAGACGATCGGAGCATGAAATATCATCATAATCATAGTTTCATGTAACATGTCCATTCCACATCTCTTCCATCATCGTGCGAAAAAATTACTGAATTGAGATCAAAAAACAGAACGCGAACGCGAGCGCGAGCCACCATCATCCATCCAACAACCAGATCCAACGTTATTCCAAAAGCGCGCAAAAAATTGGTAAAAATCGAAAATGAAGACATCCACAAAGATGTCCATCATCATCGCATCCATCTTTCTCAAAACGCAACTTTTCTTCTAATTATTACAAACATCTTCATTCTTTTTTTATTGCTCACATATTCCAAATCATTCCATCACTTAATCTCCTTTCTTTCTATCTTAAACACTTCTCCTCGAAAGCCTAACGAAGCTAAGAAAAAGTATTTACACATAATCGATATAAAAAACATAAAAAATATCCTAAATACACAATACAAAACTATTATAAAATGTATAAATGTAAAGCTGTCTGTCTGTCTTTTTTTCCTTCCTTTTTCGATAATAATTACAAACTAACAACAAATAAAAAAAAACACTCTAACAATCCTCTAAATACTTCTTCTTAAGACTTGGTGTATATGTTTTTTTTAAGGCTGAGACTATATAATAAAAATACAACATAAATTTGCTTCAAATCCTCTTCAAATCAAGTAAATAAACGTTATTTTTTTTTTGCAAAACGCAAATATAAAGCCGCATCCTATTCACTCACGGTCCTTGTACAAAATATATTCCCTTTCTTTCTTTCATTTTTTTTTTTATAATTTAAATTACATCTTAAATAATCTCAATTTTGTCCTCACCTTATACATAAAATATTGCTTTTCAAATTCATCTTGTTCTAAATTTTACAAAATGAAAGTTATAATAATAATAATGATGATGATCATTCAAAAGTAAATCCTAACATAATAAGTAAATAAATAGAAATAAACAACATTTTATCACCTTTTATCCATCAGAAATCTTCTTTACACTCGCGCATCGCCGCCATCTTTCTCTCACTACGAAATTGTATAATGTCTGTATATATATATATTTTGTTTTGTAGGTTTTTCTTCTTTTTTTTATCGTGTTATTTATAAATAGGGTATGCATGTTACAAATTGGTAACGTAAATTTAACGGAATCATATACAAGGGAGTTCACAATTAATTCTGATTCGGAGACCTGTCGAAAAAATTAACGATTTCGTGCACTTCATCTGCATTTCGAGTTCCTGAAATTTCTTATTTTTGGTTCACGTATATAAATATTGCTTTAATTTTTTTTGAACGGCTTTCCGAATCATCTTCTAATTATATGTTGTTGTTATTTGTTTTCTTTTCTTTGAGTTTTGCGTTAACCACGTAATTATAGGTATATATATTATACATATGTTTATATACTAAATATTCTATATATTAAATATATATATAAGGTATATCAAAACATCACACAAATTAATGGATTATACAATATCTTTTTCAAATTTACCACAGATAATGACTAGTATATATATTATATATTTGGTTTTGAATAGAATACCTTAAATGCCTCATTTTCTTAAATGCTTGTGTAAATCATATACATATATATATTCTCTATATATATATACTCTATATCATATCTTCCTTTTTCCTTCATTTATATAATAAAACTTTTCACGAAATATATCTCTATGTTTATTTTTTTTATCCTTTTGCATTAATTTCCTCTTTATTACGTTTAATTTAATTTAAATATTGACTCTCAGTTGAAAAACGGCATTTAAAGGTACCTTTTTTTTTTCATATATTATATATATATATATATGCAACGATAAATAAATAGTTAAATAAATTGGGTCCAATAAATAAGTGGATAAATTAACGAAATAAATAAGTTAAATTAAAAAATAAATTAAATTAAAAACAAAGTCCATATACACCTGTGTTTCCATTCCTGCTGATTTCAAAACGAAATTCCGTGCCGGAACGAAATGTACGGTTACCATAGCACTGCTCTTGTTCTGCTTGTATTGTATATGTGTGTATATATTGATTCGTTGTACAAATTGGCCACCACGTTCTTTTTTTTATTTCCATATTTTTCTCTCTCTCTCTCTCTCTGTGTGTTGGAAAATAAAGATTTTTTGGGGAAAACATTTTGAAGAATTACTGCAGTTTTAGTGTGAATGTTTGCGGGTGTGTGTATATATTAAATCTTTTATTTGTTTTTATTATTATTATTATAAACGGTAGCTAATATAGTTATCCGAACTGTGTGTTTATATATTTAGGTTATTTGCAGTGTTTATTCATAAATACTGCAAATAGTTTACGCCTCATTTCTCCGGGTTCGTTGCTTTCACATTTATACTGTTTGAAGTTTTTTTTTATCTTTCTCCCTCACTCTCTCTCTTCTCTTCTCTTCTCTTCATTTTACCTTTCTCGTTAAATATTTCTTTCATTTAATTCTTTCTTTCTGTTTGTCTTTGATTATTCATAAACATTTGAAATAAATACGTTTTACGTACAAGTATTAAGCGCTTTCAGTAGTATTCTCCTTCATTTAATATCATTTTCAGTTTAGTTTCTTATTTAAGTATTGCTTATTATTGCCTATTAGCATTTTGCGGCGAATGCAAGGAAACGTTTTATTATTATTAATATTTTAAAGTTCAGTTTTTTTTTAAGTTTAAGTATAGTTTTTTTTTTGTATGTTTGAGAATATTTAGTGTTACTATCATTTCGTACACAGTCATTTCGTAAGAAATTCACTTTGTCGCATTGTGTTCATCATTTTCTAACAGAGTAAAATATTTGCAAATATTTGTGATTTTCTTTTTGTTAGGTTTGTTGGAAATTTACCTTAGTGAATTATACACGATATTAAATTGTGTAATTAAAGAAGAAAATTCACTAGATAAAAATGTTTGCAAACATTTGCTTTGTTTATGAGCATTGTCCAAATTATCACTGCATATGAGAGAATATGCTCTTTTTTTTGGAAAATTTTTAGTTTTTCAAATTTGTTCGTAAAACCGAACATTAATGTATAATAATTAAGAGATAATTTGAATACGTTTGTAATTAATTTGTGGTTATAGCCAGATGCATAGTCTATAAGTTTAATAGAAGGAAGTTAACGAATTTTGTAAATGACTTACTTCTGGCATCAAAAGTTAGTAATTGTGACAGAGTGAATGTTGTGAAATGAATGGGTACGATTTTGAACGCTGTGTGTGTTTGTGTTGAGTGTTCTGTTATTTTGATGCCGCTGAGCATTAGTTTAGTTTAGAAGTCGATAGGTTTTGTTAGGTTACTTGATGTTGGCCGGGTCATCGGGGTCGCCTAGGTCGTCGGTGGTGGTGGACATGCTCCGTTTGCAGGAAGGAGGACTGTCCGGGCGTCCGGCTGGAGGTCCATTGCAGGTCGTCTCCTGGTGCTTGTTCAAGTACGACTTTAGCGTGAAACTCTTCTTGCAGATCTGACACGTGTGGCTCTTCTCCGGTGAGTGGGTCTGCATGTGGGCGCGGAGATTGGAACGATCGGCGAAGGTTTTCTTGCACACCGAACACTGGTAGGGTTTTTCCCCTGTGTGAGATCGGAGGTGGCCCTGGAGGAGCCAAGGCCGCGAGAATTGCTTGCCGCACACGCTGCAGGTGTGCGATAACTTATGGGTGAGCATGTGCATGGCCAATGCCGGCATGCTTACGTAAGCCTTGCCGCAGGTCATGCATTTCTTTGCGGATTGAGAGTCGAGGCTACGATGGGTTTGCTTGTGTCGCGAGAGGTTCGACGAGGTGGCGTACCTCTTTCCGCAGTCGGAGCAGACGTACCTGCTGCACTTCGTCGAGGTGCCTACGTCTACAGTCGTGGATGTGGTGGCGCACGATTTCTCCACCGTCACCGTCTGAAACGATCGTCCAAAATTATAGTAGCAAATTGCACTCGTCGATCTACACCATACTAACCATAGGTTCATCATTTTCTTCCACCGGGTTAATGGTGATGTTATTGTTGTTGTTGTTGGTGATGACAACCTTGTGTGCGATCCTGCGTTTGAGTCTCCTGCTCTCAACAATCGGACTCAGATCCGTCGTCGAAGTGATCACACTGTGCTCCCTCGGCGGAGGGGTGCGTTGATGGATCGGAGCTGGTGGGCTCTTCACCATCGGAGGTCTTACGATCACCGTTTGTAAATGTTGTTGCAGGATGGTCGGTTCTTCGGATAGCTTCTGCGGTTGGGGTTCTTCCAATCGCGCCGGTGATTCGGGACGCCGATCCTGATGATCATTTCTATTCTCGGGTTCAGGAGAGAGCGGCAGAATGAGAATGTCTTCGTTGTTTTGCTGCAGGGTTATTTGGCCGCCGACAAATTCATCAGTTAGACATATTTGCAGGTTCTCAGCGTCGGAGGAACATTCGGAGGTGGGTGGGGTCGGCGCAGCAGGAACTTGAACTAGGTATACAATTGGTGGTTGGTAAGCAGGCAGACTGCTCTGGAAGGTGATGGGTTCGGGGGAGAGAGGACGACAGGTGTACGAAGGGGACTGGGATTGAGAGTTGGAGTCGTCCGGCAAATTCTCGTGGATGGTGACCACACCTGGAGCTTGCAGCGGTGGCAAACTTTGTGAGAGCGAGAGCAGATCATGAGCTGCCTCCGTTTCCTCAATGCTTCTCACCCGGAATATAGGTATTCCACCGTCATGCTCGTTTATATCCCCAGATTGTCCCGAAATTCCCTCCAACGAAGGCGATTTCTGCAGACACTCCTGCAGGTAACCTGCAACAAAAGCAAAACCATGTATAAACAATTCGATTCGAGTTGTAACTGGATTAAGGACGACGTCGCTTTATATTAACGCAGTTAGTGAAGCATTAATAACATTACGACGTTGGCTCTGGCTGGAATGGATCAATTAGTTTCAAACGACAACAATAGTACACACACACATAGCGCAGTCAGTACATAGTATACGTGCAGGGCGCAAACCCTCGTGAGTGGCTCTCAAAGCCGGATTTAGTCTCCACTTGTATATACAGCGCGAATCTTCATACCATCCGGATGTGAACTGAGACACGTGTTATCGTTAAATAAACCGATACCGATTTCCGACTAAGCTCCGAAAATTGATAAAACTATATATATGTATATGTGTATACATATATCTCTGTCTAGTTTATACCATCCGTCTCCATGTGGAAAGATAAAGACATCGGAGGGTTATCTTCGCGCTTCTCGGGCCGTCGCCCTCATTAAAGTATCGATTCTGTAAATGATATCTTAATGGAAAACTGGCTAATTGTCTAAAGTGAAGCTTCCATTCGGAGGCGGCGTCGGCCGCTTTGACATTGTAATAACGGCCCAGTCTAATGTAACACCGTAAACCCTATTATTAAGTGCGCGAGACCAGACAAAGAGAGCACCACATTATACATCAATTAAGAAATTATATAATAGGAAATTCCCATCATCGTGCACATCCAGATGAAAGCCAATTAAAATATTCACGACTTGTTCATCTTTCTCAGATACTCAAATGTTTTCAATCCAATTTACTACACCTATTTGAACCAATTATATTATCAATTACTTTATTTCATAAATTATTTTTTTCAATTGCAAAATCATTATATTTAGACACCAAATCTACTATAGCTTCTTATTGTACTTGCACAATTTGCATTGAAATAGTAACTAGTAATATTATTAAAATGAAAAAGCTTTGAATGTATCCAGGAATCTGTCGCTATTGATGATTAATGACTAAAATATTCATTTCTTTTGATAATTAGTTTTACTGATAATCAGATAATTAAATTCATGGTAGTACAACATATATTTATTAGATGTTAGCTTCAAAAATCACGAATATTTGCATGCTACAAATTAATAGATTTCATATTGATAATAAGCAATATTTAATATAATTTAAACCATTTGCTTAGAATGAAATTAATTGTTTAAGTGAAAGAAAAATGATGATATTTTAGCACAATAATTGCTTTTACATTAAGTTCAGAGGTCATCGTAGAGGAAACAGAAGCATTTCACAGCAGACAAAAACGATTTATTTAATGAAATAAACTCGGTCAGCACTTAGACATCATTTATCTTATGTTGATAGTAAACATCTAGATGGCATGGAATTAAAATGCATCTGGCATTTCTGTATTTGTCTCAATTATAAAATATATTTTAGACCAAATTATCCGAAACATGACAAATAAATTAGAAATAATATGAGAATTTGAAATGATTATACACCAGATTATACTTCCACTAGCATCAAGATTAGGTTATGTGCTTAGAGCTTGACTTAACATAATCTAACCCAGTGGTTTCCAAACTTGATATTACTACACCTCCCTCTAAAGTATGTAATCATTTGGCGCCTGGAATGTATCTATACTTGCTGGATTCCCCAAACATTCAGCTTTCATATGCATATATTGGATTCTATCTATCTATTATAGTTTTCGATAAAATCAATGAAATGTGAAAACACTGCTTTTTCAAACGTTCTAATTTAAATTTTTCATATTTGAACGCGTATTACAGCAATATGGATAAAAGCACAGGAATGTATCTATACTTGCTGGATTCCCCAAACATTCAGCTTTCATATGCATATATTGGATTCATTCTATCTATTATAGTTTTAGCAGATATTTGGAAAATTGCTCACTGCAACTAATATTCGCGCCTCCCCTTATACTAGTCGACGCCTCCCCAGTGGCCTCACAGTTTGGAAAACGCTGATCTAACCTAATGTAAGCAAACACAAAAATATTTAATCTAATCCAACATAATATATTTAAGGTAACTTTAATTTTGTGTTTTAATAGCTACAAGTGTGCAATATTATAAAGCCTTTTATTGAAAGCTTTTTTTAATTTGTTTTATAGGCGAAGCTAAGAAGGATTTATTATTAAAATTTATAGAATTTTATAGAAAGTGTTTAGAAAATTGTGTACAAAAGCAGGTTTAACAAGTACAGAAAAGTAACTGTCGTGTTATAATTTGCTTTGTAAGAATAGAAGCAGGAATATGATATTATTGCAATACAGAAGATAATAGTAGAACGAAGTTTTTGTCTAATCTGGTGCAGTCAGGAAGATAAGCCGCGTCTACAAGCCAGGTCCTCGATAACCCAATTCCGTACGAGTTCGAGATATATTTAGGATTACCTCAAATTATTTCGGCTAGAGCAACATAACAATATCGATCAACCTACATTCGGTAGCCACAAGAGGCAACAAACATCTTTTCAACGTGGATTGTAAATTTCTGCGTGAATATCGTGTGCGGCGGAGGTACTTTATGTAGTAGTAGCTGTATCCTGGTTAACGGCGCTAGAACTATACGAAATATATTATACATAGTCATTAAATTCAAGCGGACGGAATTTGATCGTCGACCTTGCATTTATTGATTTTATACGACCGATATGGATATTCTAGTAATTTGTACATACCTCGTCCTATTATTATCCTGATTAATATTCGTGCGTAGCAATTAATTATTCATGGTAGCAATACAGGAAAAAAAAAGATTACTCCTATTTAAAATAATCACAATATTAATTGCGTTAATTACGTACTTCATTGTCGTTCCAATTAATATTTAATATCACATCAATTTTGTTCAGGTTTTGCCGACCTAAACAAAATGTTAATTTCATGTGTATCATTCACATCGTTGTGACATTAATGAAATGAATGTAAAGAATTTGTTATCTAAATATTTACTATAATGATAAAAAGTTGCGTAAACATGATAGTTTTCCTGATTTTGAAAACTTGTGGCATGGGTACCAACTAACGGTTACGTGATCTAGAGAGAATAATATGAAGTTGTCATTGAGTCAGATGACAGCAATGACGGATAAACTAAAATGACATATGTCATTAATTTCATTTGGAAACAGGTCAAATTATGCAAAACAGAGGCTAAATGAGGAGTATGGAGGTGTTAGAAGAAGTAGAAGAGATATATGTTATCATATTTGGTTACGTAAGTATGAATTTCCATTACTCATATATCATAATTTAAATAATTTACTATATTCAATACAATTTTAATAATTGAGAAAACATATTGTTGGATCATAGATAAAAATTATGACACTGTAAAAGTTTCATTACGCAAAATATTCTCAACCTAGAAGAAACTCAATAGATAGTAAATGATTCTCAAAAGTTAGCGCGTTATTAGATCTTTTTTTTTTTGAAAGAAGTTCCGGGTCGTGTGGAAAATGTTGCAGGTTTCGCTATATACATTTTTTTTTCGTTTGCCCGTAAAATGGATCATTTTATGCCGAGAGCGGCGCCAAACTTAGTTTCCATCTCTTAAACCGGAAGTAACATCGACTTTTAGTGTACACCTGTGGAAAGGGAGCAGACATTTCGAGCGGATCCATAACAGTTTCAATGATATACACATTCATGTGAGTCGGGTCGAACTCGGATGTAACTTTTCGTAACGCTCTGATTTTCTTTATACATTATTTTCTACATCAACTTTGAACAACACGTCAATTTCAATGACGCTTTTATTAATATGCTTTAATTTATTGTAAATAATGGATACATTTCATAGTTATGAAATTCATCTCTTTCAATTCTCTGATTTGAAAGAGAGAAATACATGAAGCAATTTGGATAATGTTTTCGAGGTCCAATCGAATTTCTCGAAAAAAAAGATACTTCTATTAAAATGATTAGAGCAATATCTCTTAAATTATGAATCTTTTCTTAGAAAAGATGTAAAGATTGAAAATATAACGAAGTTTGAAGAAGAAAGCAATATCTAAGAAATTAAAATGAAGTTATCTAGACGTAAAAATCAATAGGTTTCGAAAATATCGATAAAGTTTTTCGGTGAAAGATTTAGACAAGGTTTTCTAAAATTAGAATTAAAGACAAAGAAAATGAAGACGAAATTCAGAAGTTCTTATCGAAAAAAAGAGTTAAAACCACTAAATTAAAAAGGTGATTATATTACATAGAAAATGTAAGTAAAAATAATCCTAAATAAGAATTATGTGCAATAATAACAGTGAAAATGCAATTTCGTATAAGCTGTTAAATGAATGAGACAAAGGTACAAGCAAATTATCTTTAGACGCATATTTCAAAATGTATATAAGTTGATTGTAATAATAATAACTTTTCTTTTTTCAGTTTCTTTTTTACGAAGTAACAATAAATATATGAAAATTGATCCGTTTTTGTAATCTAAGTCACTTATTATATGATTTAAGCTTAAAAAAACCTTCCAATCAAAAGAAATGTCTTCAAATAAACTAATAAGCACAAATACGCATTTTGGCTGAGTTTACCAAAAAGAACCATATTCATTTTTTATTGAAAATATTGCTGAAATTTAATAAAAATTTATAGACAACTTAATTTTAATGTGTTTTAAAAGAAATCAAAAGATTTTGTTTTATTTGAACTATGTTCAGGTAACAAAGGGTTAATCAATATTTGATTTTTTTCAATTATGTTTGAATGACAATGATAATATCGCAGTCTACTGGGAGTATAGAAACTCTAACAAATGCAGATACGACACAACTATTTATTTTCTATGACATAATATATTATCACGTCATGCATTTGATATCCTTGACAAAGGAAATAAGTTTTAATTAAAATAGAAACATAGGATTGAGTTGTATGGGCAAGGATTAAACCTAATAAAGTCTTAATAACCCATCATAAATCTTCATGGCAAATAAAAGTAAGTGGCGGATGCGCCGGGTAAGTAATTAAAAAAATGTCCTGAATACGGTGACGAAGAACGAAAGAGAGAGAGAGAGCAGACTGGGTGGGTTCGTTTGCGTTGCGTAATCCATGCGAGCTGTAAACTGCGATCTGAGAACGTATAAACACGCTTTTTTATTTCTCTTATGTGGGATAAATGAGTCAACTATTTTTCGTTTAGTGCGAGTGTGTGCGGATTGCGTGAGTCACGCACGGCACGCATACCTGGGCCTCAACCGCCACCGCCGCTGCTGCCGCCGTCGAGTCATTACCGGAGGTTTTTACCCGGAAGAAGGAGAGGAGAAGCGTTCACGTGTCGGACCGATTTCTTCTCGCATGGGAACAATCACAGCAACAATCCCACGGTCGGCAACATGGCGTATGGGGATTCCGTGATTAAAGCACGTTAGAACCGTACCGATTTGATTGCCAACAACGAACACACATTTTCTATAAACTTCGCTTTCGGGCGATTATTGTTTGTTATTATTACGTGCGTCGCTCTTATCGGACGCTTTGCGGAATTACAACTTTCGACTAACTTGTTGCATCGGTTTACAATGTTAACTTTATCATAACAGTTGGCGTATATTCAATTTTTAATAAACCACAAACCAATACAGTTACAGTTACAGTTATTATAGATATAAATTCTTTAGTTTAGTTTAGTTAATATTAATTTAATTAATGAATCATCAAAAGTACATTTAATATAATTTATTATTCACCTTTTAATTAACATCTTTGTAAACAAGTTGATTTAAATATTTGCCAAGTATGATTTCATGAATAATTATGTTTACGTTCATGTTTAGAATGAAAAATAAAATTAAAAAATATCAATTTTTGTCATTTTATATTGACAAATTTAATGACCCCTTATGTAAAAATTATGTACAAAGTTGATTAACACAATTATTTGAATAATTATTTCTTTAGTACAATATGTTATTAGTGAAGAAATTCAATGTTGAGGCTTATGCAAATGAATTAATAATCATAATTGAAATCCCTAGAAATGTATGTTTTATGTATGAATTTCGTAATGCATTAGTTCATAACGAAAAATGTCATCAAGCATCTATAAATAGATTTTACTGAAAAACAAATATATTTTTGACCTTTTATAATAACACAAAAAAAATGATTACTTTAAAACTGAAAGTGTTTAATAAATTAAAAGATTTAGTTAACATATAATATTTCAATATAAGTATATTACGATGAATATTGTGACTGAAATCATTTCCTGAAAACTATTTTCATTTGTATTTAACATCCTGAAATTTGTATTTTATTAACTGCAATCTTTTTTAAATTAGACGTTTCTTGAAAATTTAAAAATATTATATATCATGTAGAATATGCAGTTCGCAGAAACTTTTTCGATTCAGAAAAATGAATGAATATCATAATTGAGATCCGTGGAAATGCATGTTTTATGTATGAAATATGCAATAAATTTCTTGGTAGCAAGGCAATGTCATGAAAGGTCTATAAATACGCGTACACCGAAGAACATTACTATCCGGGTAATAGAGCACCCACAAATTGCTTACATATAAAATGCCAGTAGATGACATTTCCTTAAAGATTGTTCGCATAGAGCAAGCAGGGGTGGCCAACAAATCGGTCTTGGTTGATCGAACAACGCTCGAAAATTTTATTTTAAAAAAAAGTAATAAACTAACATCATAAAACTATATAGTAAATAGACTTACTGTAGAGTCACAATAATAATTTATCATTCTCATAAAATGGTTGATAACTCAGCAACTGTTACAATTGCTGAGTTATTTCTACAGTTGGACTTCATTTAGCATCGTTCTTTATTCGCGTGTAGTGTAAAAATGCGTATTTGTGCTTATTAGTTTATTTGAAGACATTTATTTTGATTGGAAGGTTTTTTTTACTGTTTCAATAGAAGTCGTGATATTTGTATATTAACATTTTTTTTAAGATTTTTATGAATTTTGTTGATAATTTAATAGAGTTATGACGTTGGACAACTAAAATTCATCGGCTTTGAGTAAATCGTATTAATTCTATTATATTTTTAGTTGACAAAGGATAATGGTTAACTACCTCCATGTTCTTGATGTATTAAAATAATAAATTGAAAAATCATTTAATCGTGAAATACGAAAAATCAATAGAAATGTCAAATAGATGGGACTGGTGACTTTACTGACGTAAAGACTGCGACAATATTAATATTAGAAATGCACTGAATGCACAATATTTGCGCTGCGTAGTTTGGCTTTTGTCGGTGCTCGACGTTCGCTATACATTTTCCGAGCTTTAAATTATGTATTACGCTACACCCGAAGGGTTTCAGGAAGCCTTTGAAGGGCTGTCTCGACGAGGCTACACCGAGACCCGACCGCCGCTGCCCAAGATAAAATAGTTCAAACGTACGGGATGATTCGGACGGGCCGATGCATTATTTACACTTGTTGGATACAGGTCTCAATAATGTAATAGCCCTGCCAGCAATATGCAATCTTCGTAAAGGTTAGGCGCGGGTGTTGACCTTTTGGCCTTCCCTTCCGAACCCCCCGGATAGTGACATAGTGGATCTGCTCGGAAGCAAAGGAAGCGATGCAAACAGTTGTTGCGCTATATATGTGAAATGCTTGAAAACTACCTGAGATCCTTTCCTATTCTGACCGTCCATAATTTAGAGGTCTTTGTTCTTGAATTACGTTTCAACGGCTTTTTGTTTTTTTTTTAAAATATATTTGTCTGTGTCTATTTGAGTGTGTGTGTGTACGTGTGAGGGTGGTTGGTTACGTGTGTTGAGCGAATGTGTAGCGTTGCCATGGTTAGATTTGGAGGGTTGTCTGGGGTCGTAGCGTCGTGTGCAGCATGTATGGGTTTGAATCATCAATCGATATGTTTGAAAGCTGATTGGTCTTACTCGTTCTGCTCGTGAGCGGCGTGTAATAAGGTGGTGCGACGCAACCCTCGGTCGGGCTGTCCGGAGGTCCGGAAGCGGAGGATGCGACGACGGTGACGTCGGCGGCCCAGCATTCCCTTGCCATCTGTTGGTACTTGTTGCTGTTCTGCTTCTTCACCATGTAACATCGCGGCATCGTGTCGACCGTTCCTCGAAAGTCCGCCGCTACGATGATGAGATCGAGATGATGCTGACGATTTTGATGATGATGACGATGTGGAGTTTCTATACCGCTGACTGTTCGCCTCGTTTCGATGAAGAAGCAGTGGCGTCGGCGTCGACGGAGGCGGCAGCGGCGAGTATTAGGAATGCGTTTGCAGGTGGTTGTCGCATAGACGGAACAAGTGGTGAGTGACGGATATAGGTGGGTCCGATGAGCAACAAGTAGTAGTAGTAGCAGCCGGCAGCAGCAGCAGCACCAGCAGCAGCAACCAGCAGCACCGGAGGCGGCGGAACGTGCGTTTGCGGCTTATCCAACAGGTAACAATCTTCCGCAATCGTTGAGATGTGCAAGGAGATGAAGATCAGCGGACATCGCGACGGCGGCGGAGCCGTTTTAAAATGGCGCGCTCGAAGAGGCGTCGCGACGCTTCTGCGAAAGCGAAAACAATTTGGACGGCATATATACGTTTGTTCCCTCGTTCATCGGATCATCCCTCTCTCGCCGTCCCTTTGCACCGCCACCTACAAGAGACTTCCTTTTCCGCCTACACAAAACTCTCTATCTCTTTCTTTCTCTATAGATGCTCTTCAACACCACTATCTTCGTTTTGCTGTTGTTATTGTTTGTTGTTGTTATTATTGTTCGTGATTGATCGTATGTGTGGAGGTGCAGGTGCTCAACAATGTTCTGATATCGTTATTTTCGTCCTTCGAATCCTGCTGTGTTCAGTGATCCTTCTATTTCACAATTCACTCGCACTCACTATTTGGCGCACTCACTATTTACGGCGCACCACTCCCTAGTTGCAAGTGGCCGTCGCGACGCCCGCTGCTGCCACCGGGCGGGGTGGCAAACGGCGGCGGCGCGTGCGCCCAGCCTCCGCGTGGACTTCGAATCGATCCGAACACCGACACCTGTTACCGACTTCATCGATTCTTCATCCCTGCTGATGGCCCACAGCACACCACCATCGCCTACGCCGCCGTCGACCTCTCTCCTTCCTGCCTCCCACTCGCTCGCTCATCCAGACACACTCTCCGCATCCTCTTCCTCTTTCATTCCCAAAACAAATAGACAACAAGTTATGAATTACCATCGCAACAAACTTATCAGCAAAAATTACCAACGCAAACTCTTCAAAAAGATTAATCGGAATGGAATAATAAAAAATACTCAAACTCACCAGGAGGATTAGTTATCCTAGCTCGACTAGTAAATCTCTCTGACTCTCTGGTGGTCACTGATAAGAAGTCCTTCCCATCCGATCATCGTATGCAAGGGGACCTACGCGATGCAACCTCTCTTGATTTAATGCCCTTTTAATTCATTCTAATCCTTGGCTCTCTCCCTCGTCGGACTGTCAACTTAACCAACTTTGGCAGGAGCCTACTACTTGAATACCAATTATCCTATGATAGTAAAGTGATTTCAAACAACACTGAATACACACTTTCTAGACGTCTTCCGAAATTTCAATAAAGCCTACAAATAACAGAAGATAAAATAAAGTCCTGAAAATATTAGGGAAGAATAAACAATTTCTAATTAAAATACAAATATTTCCAATAGAAACTGCAAGTTTGTTTTGAAATTTTCAAACAGTACAATAGAAAATTTGCACTGATCAAAACCATTGTAATTGTATGTAAAATTACAATGTAAAGAATATCCATTTTGTATATCTTTGTTTATCCTAATGTTTATATTTTCTCGTTTGATAGCAATGATTTGTCGAATGATGTACTTGTATAAATATATAAATCTGCCAAGCACTCATCCATTATTGCGGGTGACATTTTTCAGCTGCTATAAAAAGTAACATCGACTTTTACAACAATTCAGGCCGCATAAGGACAATACAAAGTAAAGGTTAAGCAGCCGAGATTGGCAGTATAAAACGAATAAAGTAATAGACATTACAACCTTTATCGTATACCTATTTAATTTGCAGTACCATCATCATTCCCAAGAAAGATAAACGAAAAACAATATAATGGTGTACTTCTGAAAGTTTAATTAACATCTCTTTACATATAAGATTAATACAAACTTTAAATTGTAGATTATAACATTTGTGTAACTGTTTGTATGTACAATTAATAAAAAAGATAAATTAATTAGTATCATTTTCTACAATGTACATTGTACATTTCACCTTTTATTTGATAAAATTTGTGTGAAAGCAAATGTTGAAAATAATTATTATTTCTTTTAATTTATTTTCTTATCTGTGATATTCCAAGAAGCATCAATTATTTTCCTTATGCTTTTCATTATGTTTTGAATATACTTATTATTATTATTATTATTATAAATGTGTTGTATGATATTAAATATAAATTATATAAAGTAATGAACAAAATCACAAAAAAAAAATGCTTATAAATTCAGTCGAGCAAATCATCAATGGAGCAGAAATATAATGATGCAAATTGGTTTATTTGAGCAAATTGCAAAATATAAATATAAAAATAATAGAAACGGATATGCTGATCTTGGCATTTCCATTTCTCAATTATGCAGTTGCGAACGTTTCCAGCATGAGACATAATTCACATCCTTGAAGTCTCCTTGAAGATTTAATAAGGAAGCCCTCGCGGTCCCAGATCATTAACTTTACACAGAGAGGAGCGGTTGGGTTCTGCACTTCAGATGAGTTTAATAATTAGTATCACTTTGTTCCTGTATTGCTTTTATTGCATCAATTTCCTTTAATGTTTCTAATTCTATAAAAACACATTATTACATAATTTACTTAGTATTTACTTAATATAGTTTATAATTAAAAAAGTTACAAGTATCAATGACAATACCTCGATTAGTCCGGTTTAACTATTCTATTAACTAATTATTAATTAGTGCAATTAATAAGTGATTATTTTGTAAAAAGAAATGAAACTGTGGATGTCATAGTTTTTTTTTGTAGGTTGATAAAAATGAGGTCAGATTGTTTGGACGTTGAGGAGGTCCAACATTGATAGATAAAAAAGAGAAGCTGGATGTAAGTGAAGATGACGGCCTCAAAGCCGATAAAGCTTCAACAAGTGCTGAAATGCAGGAGACGTTTCGAATTTTGCGGTTTAGCTCCGAGCATAGTCAACATAGACAGCTCAGATTTCACGTGGTTTTATTGAAGGATTTATCCGGATGAGGTGCATTACAAAATTATTATTAACTTCTATAATTGTTTGAAATGATTTTCGAAAACGTTCCTCGAACGAACCAACGAATACTCGATACGAGTAGGTGTTTGAATGGTATTAAAGTACATGGATGGCTTCATGCTCATTCCGTAAATAGAAGGCCGAGGGATTATCACGACGCCAGCAAAATACTTGTTTCCATGACTACGCATTATTTGTTAGAGTGGCCTATTCAGAAGGGAGAAAGAAGGTCGATGTTTGTAAGTCGCCAGGTTTTCCATTTCGAGCTACATAAATAACCAAGAAGTAATCTTTGCAAAATCAGTAAAAAAAAAATACATAAATTAAGGTAATATTTATTACAAATATTCACTCCAAGTAAAGTAAATATAAATACAAAAACATTTGCTTTATTGAATATATTTCAATATGTCAAATCGATTGTCGATCAAGAAATAAACTTGTTGGCTATGCAAACGGTAAAGAAATGTTATCAACATGCAAATAGTAGTAATAATAATATTGATATTGAAATTATCATTAGCTTTCGGTAATTTAACTGAATGAAGTTGGAAATATCGCGTTCGGAACATTTAAGACGTTAGGGTCATTAGCGATTTCTGTTTGTAACGGTATTGATCTGTTTGTTGGGGGGGTTTTGGGTTTGTTCTGACTGCGTTACGAAATAATGAGAGACCATTTATTTACAAGACCATTTTTCATTTGATGGCTATTAATGTGCACAATATTCTTGTAAACGCTACGAAAATACTAATGTATAGCCCAAACGGAAAGTCGACTATTTATTGAAGAGAATACGCATATTCATTAATTTCTTTTGTTTGAAAACACTGACATAACAATGAAAAATAAAAGTCATTGAAAATAACCTTAATGCGTAAGTAATTAGTTGAGCTTTAAAAACAACCGAATATTATTTTCAGCTACTGTCATCAGATTTATTGTAACATTAAGAAGTTCTTAGTTGAATATGGTTAGAAATTATCTACTAGAATAGTAAACCAATACCTCGCATAGTGCGGCTACGATCATTCTAGGATCACTATAGTTCGGTTTGTAAAGTTGATAACAAACCAATGTTTCAAATAAGCTAAATAAAAATAAATCCTAAAAAATAGTCAATTTTTGTATGTATTTCTCGGTTAGTTCGGCATATTGATGGAACCGATTATGTGAGATATAAATATATGTGTAATACTTAAGAAAATGACAATAATCTTAGGATTTGGAGAAATCTCTTGAGAAAATGTGAAAATTTTCTATTGCTAATTATTTTCATCACAATGTGTATTCAAATAATATTTAAATTCACATGTACACAATATTTGTTCTTATTAATTAATTAATGCGTTAAAAATATATCCAGAGAACAAATCATTCATTTTAATTGAGGAATTATTAAAATTTTGCAGGTTTTACCTTGGGTTTTTTTGTTTATAATAAGTATACATAATATATATTAATTAATTTAATGTTTTAAGTTGGTAATTATCGAAGTGTCAAATTTAATTATATTACCATTTGTACCAACTAAACGAAATGTATGTTATATAACCATATTGAGTTACTGTCTATAGTGAAATTATTTTTAGCACATACAAGATATATGCACACTGCCTGCATATGTTGACATTTAAGTTTTATATCATGAATATATGGACGCATTACACACATGATTTAACAATAGATTTATGTATCACGTCAATTTTACACTTTTCGGATTTCATAAAGATGTTACATTTTTATAATATAAAAGATTTGAATTTGGCGCCTTTTTTTCTAATGAACTAACAATGCTGTATTTATAACACATTTCGAATAAATAATGTATTAAATTCTGAACTTAAATCCAGCGATTTTAATTGTTTAAGTTAATGTTATAATATTGTTCTAAATTTAAAAGTAAAAACTAAATGTTTTCTTTATAAAATTGAGTTAGTTTGGTGCATAAGATGTGATTTATTTGATTTGAGATAATGTAGTTTTTTAAGAATGAGTTAATTTATGTTATTAATTGATATTACTTCATAAATTCGTTAAATCGTAAATCTTTGGCCATTAGTTTAAAATTCGTGTTATGTCCTATATAGCAGGAGGGAATCGAATCGACGTGACTGAGATAAGGGTTATAACGTTCATGGCAGATGATCTTAATTATGGCTGTCCCAGATGTAAAATCAATTGGCGTAATTACGAAATGTTTGCGTAATTATGAGGCGACTATGCGGATAAAGGCATTGTTTGCTGTGAATGAAGAAGTAATAAAATTAGCGTACATTCGTTCGTTCATCTATTCGATCGAGTGTCCCAATTTTGTGTGGAGGCCATTGAAAGGGCCGACCGATCAAGAGGATATCATCCGCACTTGTGCACTTACATTAGCACAATCAATCACAGTCGTAGACCCGCATGGAACATCCTTCCCATCGTGCCTCGCCACTCGGAAACGATGATGATGATGATGATGGGTGCTTCTGTCTCTCGCACAGAATAACGTTGTAAGAAGGAAGACGGAATCAAACCCATACATCGGGCCACGGTTATCCATGGTTATCGGAACCGACGTAATTCGATTCCCGCGCGGTTTTGAGTTTCCATCGCGGAAGGAAGTGTGTATTAGATATTAATAAGTGGGTACGTGTGTCTGGTGGTAATTCG